AGTATTGGCGTAGAATAGATGCTGCTAATTTTAACTGACCACTTTTCAGATTGCACAGTTACGCACATTTCTCACGTATCCAGTAAACCATTCACTACTCAGAAAGCCTTGGAATAGAGTCTTACTCTTGGTGTAGCTAATTTGAAGTCCGTACCCACCATGTTTGATTTGAATTCCAGACGCATTGCATGCAACTATGCGTCTATGAAACTTGTTGATCTCACGTATGGTATTTTTTATAGAACTGTAAAGCTGACAAATTCGTTAATAAACACAATAGCAGATCATCGGGGAAAGACAGGGACCTCCTTACAACGATGGAAGTCCTTCGTTTTAGTTTGAAGCAGCTTTAAAATACTTATTCTCTCTATTTTCTGTACACTAGGAGAATTCACGAATCGGAGAAAATTGATTGAAATTTCAAATTCAGTAATTCTGACAATGAATTCCAAATTTAACCCAGTTCAGTCGATTAGCATTACATTCTTCCAGACTTTCAACGTTTAAAAAATGCTAATATTGTGTATTATCTTCCTGCCTAACCTAACAGCAACATTCATCCAAGCAGTCAAATTAATACCACAATGGCTGACCGTTTTCATCCAGTCCTTATGATGCCGAACTGCCCGCTACAAGAGCTTACAAGCAACGTACCAGCTGCTTTCTGAGAAACCGAATGATTTGTATGGTGTAATCGACAAAATGCCAAATTTGAATAAAACATATCTGAACCGAGGTCGGTTTTGGTGTTCATCTATGTCCAGACAACAAAAGAATATTGTTGCTACCGCGTAGACCATTTATAGAGGGGAAATCACACCCAGGCAAACGTTGTGCATAGACATGTGAACTTCGTTTACGAATCGGGATGAGACACGTTCTCAAAAGGGTCTATTTGATCTCATGACTGTTGGCAGACCAACCGTAGTCGGCATGTTTTTTGCACGGTCAACTAGTCGATTAGTTCATAAATTCGAAGATGCAGTCTGCACCAATATCCAGCACATATTGGTTGAACGAGCACAGTATCTGGAAGCGGTGTGGAACACCAGACATTCAGAGAGTCGAATTTGATCATGATTTCGGGTACACAAGTACCTCTACTTGTCTCATCTCTTACTGCGCCCAATTTCCAAACGGGACGGAAAAGATAGAAATTGTGTATGTGTGATCGCATTGTTTTATTGTCTGACCAGTGCATGCGCATACATAATCATACATATGTGTATGCTCATTCATGTACCTGGTCGCTTAGTATATGCACCTGTATGAGTCGTATCTGCATTGCTAGGTCTTCTTAAACTCTTTGCCAGAGGAGCATACGTACGTATGTATGCATGTGAGCATGTATATAAGCAGTCGTGTGTGTGTGTGTGTGCGTGCGTGCAGAGAGTTGCTTTTTTGATAGATGTATGTTAAATTGAGAGCATTCTGCAGCAAACCCAGCACCCGGTTTCACATACACAAGAGTGGGAGACAGAGAGAGACAGAAAGAGAGAGCGGTAAGCAAGCAGCACAGGTAATTCAAGATCTTGTTATTTTGGCCAAGTTCCACATGTTCTAAACCTCACGTGTCAGACCGATTTGAAATCTCGGATCAATGTTACCAACTGGTATCCTTGCAGTGATATCTGTTTACTTGTTTGTCTTGTTCCATTGGTTCTAATGAGTTCAAGTTCTTGCACAAGTATGTGTGCGCGCGCATGTGTGGAATTTAAACGGTTTCTACAATAACGTGTGACCGACCAACCGTGAGTTCAATGTGCGATCGAGTCAACTCATCAGGGCTGCATCTATCTATCCCTTCATGTGTGACGTAATTGTCTTTAAGTTCAATCAGTTTATTAAATGCAAAATAAAATAAAAACTTAAGCAATTGTGGTAATTTGCTCACTTCCATTGCGACTACGCGTTCTCTGTCCTTCTCCCCATATCTTTTGTTTGCCTATCCCGCACTAGCAAAGCGTCATCCGCTTCTGTTTCACAGTTTACCTCATTTCAAACATTAGATAAATCTCGTATCGATATTTACGCATACTTTTAAAGCGAAAAATTCTTGTTGTTGTTATTGTTTTTCGTTTTGGTGGGTTGGACATGGTGCAGATAGGTGAACATTACCACGATGTACACGTGCGTCAGCGTGAGTGTGAAATAATCAATAGTTAGATACAGGTAAACTGGTTCTCCTCTCCGATCACGAGATCAGTGTTTATCAGAAGAGATGGATAAGAACTTGATGTGATAAGAAAATAATGATTAAATCACATTTTGACTGCTACCAATCTTCATGCTAATTGTGAAAACGTCTTCACAATCACCGGCGATTGAACTTTTTATCTGTTATCTTTCACTTTCTTTCATTAAATATACAGTGATACAATTTACAGGAGCTGGGAAATAGCCAACCAGAGAGTTGCCAAGCTACTGGAGGCTGTAGCTGGGCATGAATAACACGACATGAGAAAAGCGGTTTCGCAATTTTCGCACTTTCATTCATCCAGACCATCATATTCAGCTTGCATCGCAGAACAAAAAAAAATTTGAAAGTAAACGGACATTAGTAAACAACATTGAAGCGTTCTGTGAACGGCAATTCGCAATGATGTTATCTCAATTGAACTATTTAAATCCGTACGTAATGCACTATCCAAGGAGAACCCCTACTTAGGGGAACAACCATCATTTAAGTCCACATCGTACAATGGGATACAGTACAATTCACTACATCCATTTGAGTAATAATTACAATAGAATCGTCATCATCATCCAAGCATTTATCCCGATCGCTTGTAGTTTTTGTCATGTAAGGTATTCACTCGCCTGTGTTACAAAAAACGAACGTGATAATCCTAAGTTTATTCTTAAATCAACAAATGTGCACATACTGACGGTGGTGGGTGTGGAGTAAATAGCGTGGTAGTGGTCAAACGATGCCTCTCTCAAAGGAGAAATCGCTACTCTCTACAACATCTTTAGATCCTGATATTATGTCACAAAAGTCGACTGTGTTGCTGATTATATGCCGCTACACAAAAATCCTCCTCACAAACGGAATCTGAAACATGAGTAATCTCGTCCGATTTATGAGCAGAGATGATTTTACGGACAGTTGTTTCTTGAATGGGTTAACCAAATAAGAGTCATTAAGATCCGATATGTTTTATTCTAAGAGGATCGCATTTCCAATATTCAAATGGCTGTTTCACACCTTTCTGCATAGTATCTGTCATCGGGAAGGGGTAGCAAAATAGCACATTAGAGATCTTTACTACTCATAAGTAGTAGTCAGTCAGCTGACTGAGTTTGCACTATAATTTTGTTTTGGATAACAGCAAGAAATTGATGTTACAAATAAACAGACCTAAAGGTTTTGATTATCGTGTAACCGTATATAGTTCTTACGGTGTTTATATTCCAGTTTCTAATTCACACATTTCCATAGTTTGTGTATTTGTGTGTATACATTTACATTTGACTAGTCAACGTGATGTCAATTCTCAGTTTCAGTATACTACTCAGGCCATCAACCGGCAGTTAACGAGGTTACCTATCTGGTTGTGGAGTCGTATCAGTCTACTCTCGTGGCCCTGTACCCTGATAAGTTCTCGGAAGGCGCAAGGAACAGCGGCCTCAACAGTAGATCATCATCAACAATACAAACACGAAAGACATCATGCCAATGATTAACATTTTTAAAACTGCACACATTTCGCAATCTGTGGACTGGGCTCGTGTGGGAACAAATCGAGCCCAAACACGCGATTGTCAAACCAGCCATGTGTGACAGACGAGGACGCATACGGACAGACTAGGGCTCGTACACACGGGCAAAAACGGAAGGATATGGATGCGTGCATGCATGCATGCACCGCCGCACGCACGCACACGCATCGGCACGCACACAAATGAGGCGCGCACTTCAACATGACGATCATTTATTCCCTTGGTCTCGCTCGTCTTTTTTATTGTACGCGCACAGCCTAGCATGGAGTAACGCAGTTGATCTGACGAGGAGCATAAAATTGATGGTCATGTACGCGCGTCTTCGTAGACAAGAGAGGACAGAATGTTTGAGAAGTACCCAAAGGGACCAGGATGGGAAGGCGCGGGGGGTGGGGGGGGGGGGGGGGGGAGGACTTACAAGAACGAAGGTGTGAGGTGTGGGTAGCCGGTTGGTGGGTGGTGTGACGCGAATTAAACTGGTATGAAGGCAAGTGTTAGCGCATAATCGATTCTGCTGGATGCACGAACAATGATAAACTAAGTCTTCGATTCTGTCTTCTTGTCAATGGGAGAACATGCAAACCGACTTGAGAGTTTCGCTTTTCGGCGGCGAGAAAACGGAGGCACGGCACTGCATTTTAACAGGTTCGAATAAAGTCGAAATAACAGCCTAGTCAATAATTACGCAATCATTGCCCCTCAGTGTGAATTTCTCCCCGAAAACTTGGATCAATATCCTTATATAAGGATATTCCACCACTTGTTTCATAAGTTAATAGCATTACTGGTAGTCTGTTTTATCATACAATCTTAAATAGCAAACGATTAAAGAATCGTCAGCAAATGGATGATGGACCAACTTATGCATAATTTTCATGAGATTGGACAAACCGAATTGGCCTCACCAAGAACTCGTTTAAAAGCTCTTTCTTATAGGAATAACAAATTTAACTCCGTCAGCTGTATTGCATTGTACTGGGTATCTTTTACTAGCACTGAAGCTTCCG